AATATGTGGTATGCAATAATAAACATATTAAACAAATATAAAGTAAAAATTATCTTCTGGATTTAAAATATAATGTTTGTTGTGATTTCGAAAAAAATAAAAATATTTTTTTTACTAGACTTCTTCAGACTTAAAACGCTAAAAAGAATATGACTAAGCTGCGATATACTGTTTATGATACAAAATCATACATAAAAAATTTACTTCTGAAATGTCTATTTTTAACAAAAAAAGATCATGGTCTCAAGACACCAGATTTACTAAAAAAATGAACGAAATTTGTCTATAAAAAGTATGTTTTTTAACAGAGCTTGAAGTTTTTACACATAAACTAAATGTAAATAAAATAAAAAATAATTATTCATACAAAGTTTTTTATATCTTGAAAAATTCCAGGCCAGTAAAAGCGTTCTGAAACCTTGTAGAAAGTACTTGTTCTTCCAAGGTGACCAGAAATAGGTTCACTATGACAAGAACTAATAATTTGCTTTCTCTGCTCTTTGCTAAAAATTATCTCTACCCATAAACCCTTCTTAGTCAAGTATTTCAATTTATTACCTTCCATTCTAAACCTAAAAAAAACTTAAAATATAAGTTTTACAACTTCCAATACATTTTAATAAAAATAAAATTAGAAAAAAAAAGCACAAAAGTTATTTCTTAAAAAACATTTAATTGTTAAACTAGTATTGATACATTTAAAAAGTATATACACTATAAAATATGACTATACCTGTTAGCTTTTCTTCGAATAATTCTCTTAGCATTAGCAGTGCAATTATTGGGATAAACCCCTTTATTTATGTAATTACTAACATCAAGAAACTCTTGTTCTCCTTTTTCATCATTTCCTACATCCATTCTATTTTAAGAAACTAAAAAAAGTTTAAATTTTTTTTTGAAATGTTCTATTTCTTTTATTTAACTTTACTTAAAGATGACTCTAGTGACAACGTTAACAATAGTTTTACTTTTCATTGTTTATGCTTAAAATGATGTTAAAAACTTTTAACATCTTCATTATCTGGTAATTAATATTTAGTATAATTATATATAATAATTATATATAATATTGAATAAGTTATTTAAATGGTAATATTAATATACATAATATTAATGATGCATAACAATGATGAAAATGAAATAACCAACAGCAACAATTTTATAACAATAAGATAATTTTATAATAATGACAAATCAGTATTCATTTTTAAACAACAACTTAATATTTACTTGCACCTAATGACTTGTAAAATGATTCATTATTTATAAGGGCATCAAGAAATAAATGAAAGTATAGCAATATTGTCTACTTTATGACACCATGTCCCCACCACACAACTGCATATACAGCATTTGTATTTTTGTTTTAAAGGTAAGTTTTAATTTGTGTGGTTTCAAATAAATGGTACAAAAGCCTTACTATGGAAAAATTATACACTATTTTTGATAGCACTTTGTTGAAAGTAGTTCAAAGCTAAAACCGAGAAATAAATTATTATATTATTATTTTGATTTAACAAAAGCTATTAATGCTATTAAGAAAATGCAATAAAATAATAGCACAAAATAAGATATTACCTAATAGTTGAATCTTGTTCTGTAATTTTAACTGTAAATAAAACTATTCCTACCTTAATTCAGTTGAATTCAACATTTCCCTAACTGTTGGCTAATTATTAATAAAGTAAACTTAAATTCATGAAAGTTTACTATTTTAAAACCATATTTCAACAGTAGGCAAACTAAGATAAAATAATAACAAAATTAGAACTAGTGAAATGAAAAAAAAAAAGGATTTACTTTTTTAATAACTAAATAATATATAGAGTACAACAAAATTGAAACTTTTCTTTGAAAACTACAACAGGTTCTTGTTAACAAAATCTTCACACTTTGATGGTATGTGCCCACACATACTGTATGGGTACCAGATGCTCCTATTGTAAAACACTATTTTGGACAATATGAGCAAAAGTTAGAAAAACAAGTCTTTATACCAGGATAACTAGTTTTAAACTTAGCATACAGTTCTTTTAGATTTGAGAGAATCAAACGCTTTTGCATATGAGATCTTTGAGCTAAACTCACAATATCTTTTTTACCAGATATTTGCCTGCTATTTTCATCATTAAAATAAAATTCAATAATTTTGTCTACAGTATGTAGATAAAATTATTCTTTTCTTTTTTTTTTTTTCAGTGAAAGGTTGATTTTTTTCAAATATTAATTGTCTATTGAGCAACTAATAGAAATTTCTTTATTAGAAATTCCCAAATAATTTGAAATCCTTTAATTTTTTTTTCTATGAATGGGTCTGTCTCGAATAGACACTGATTTTAACGGAGAACAACCCAACATCCTGAAAGTTTTATTTGCAATTTCAGAACTAGTCGGTTCTGAAGTTCAATATATGATGTATTGCTTTTATCATTGATTCAATATTTATGTTTTTAATAGTTTTATTATTCTTACAACAAGTTCTACAGAGTTTTTGACCCGGGCATAACTTCATTCTTAAAGTAGTTTCTTCATTGATTGACTGAAGAGATTCTAAAAAAAAAAAACAAAAAAAAAAAAAACAATATATACAATTATTACAATTCTTATCAAAAATATAAAACTTTGTACAAACATAAAACTTGTTAAACACGTCCATTACATTTTTTATTTTCATTAACATAAAGCAATGAAAAAATAAAATAACTAAATAATTTTTAACTTTAAAAATTACCCTGCATACTCTCCCTATTATTTTTTTTTACTATTATTATTATCATTATTATTTATTAATAAATATTTAATTATTATTTATTAATAAAAAAAGTTATTAATAAAGATAATGTATTTACGTGTACAAAAAATTTGCAAGTGATAAGATCACAAAAATTTTAGGAAATCCTTTTTCAATAAAAAAGATTTCCTAAAATTTTTGTTATCTGTAATTATACTTTATAAAGATTATACAAAAAATTTTTATATATAATCTTTTTTACAAATATAATTAGAATTTAATTCCACTTACTAGTAAGGATTAAATGTAAAAATGATTTCCTATATGTTTCTATAAAAGCAATCATTTAGGAACTCATAATAATAACAGTAAGACTTAAGATATGACAACTCACATGACTTAAGATATTTTAGTAAATTCTATGTACAGAGTATATATACTATAAGAAAGCAGATTTAACTAAAATTTACTTAGTCACTCAGTAAACTGTTGTTATCATAAGTACTGTTATATATATTTTGTATATATACTAAGTGTATATAAGTAGAATTAAAATAAATATAATTAGGATTATATATAAAAAGACTTTCCTAAATACTTCTATCAAAGCAAATATTTAAGAACTTATAAAACAATAATTCTAAAAATAAGAACTATATATTGATATAAGAATGGTACCCAGCATGAAACTTTTAAACGGATCAAACAGTATTTTGATAATAAGAATCTTATTTTCACATACAACATACTGTTTGATCAATTTAAAATTTTCAAATACATTAGACTAATGTTAATGAAAATTTACTTTGTTTCTAAATAAATGAAAAATTATGTATGTAAACTATTTCAATTTCTAATGATAATCATTTGTAATTTAAATAATTTACATACATAATTTTCATTTACTTAGAATAAGTTACTTAAACTAATAAAAGTCTCATAGTTAAATAAATTCTAAAATAAACTAGGCAAAATATGAATTTTGCAGAAACTTTTTGTTAAAACATAAAGAAAAAACAAACTGAACTGTTACAGTGCAATATCTACTGTTATTGCACTTCGCAACTGTTAACACCTTAACACCAGTTGTTACATCTATACCTTATTATTATTTATTATAGACTTAGTTACTAAGTCTTTGTAACTAAGTAATTAGAATTAAAATCAATATAATTAGGATTATTTATAAAAAGGATTTACTAATTCAATAAGGAAATCTTTTTTATATATAATCTTAATTATACTTATTTTAATTCTATTCTGCTGCTATTATTAGTTACTAAATATTTGCTTTGATAGAAACAATTGTTTCTAATAAAATAAATATTTGTATATAACAACACACCTAAGAATAAGAAATAAGATAAAAGTAATTTTAACTACATATAAAATGTACTATCTTTATTTTTCTTTAATTGAAAATGTCCGCTATCTTTTTATACATTGTTTTTACTTTAAAATTTAACTTTACTTAAAGCGGACTACTTACTCCGATATAGGACAATCTACTCCGGAGTAAAATGTCCTATCGGACAGTTTACTCCGGCGGACCATTTACTCCGTGACAGAACATTTATCGTTTACTTGAGCATTTCTTATTATTTATTGTTATTTGAACATTACCAAAATAGCTTTTTTTATTTAATTTTTTTTTTATTTAGGCATCAACCTCCCCAGGTTTATACATTTTATTTTTAACAATAAAAAATGTTTATTACCATCATGTTTAAATAAATTATCTTTATTAATTAGTTCATTTCATTTAGTTGTGTCATCTGCAGCATCGACCGTCCCAAGTAACAATACATTTATTTTGATTTTTTTCTTGAAAAACTTGCAATAAACATTCTTTATTGAAATTATATCTTCAGGATTTAACAAAATATAAATATTTTCAAATATTTATACATTCATTTTGTTTTAATGTATATTTAAAAATATAAATATTTTAAAATATTTATACATTCATTTAGTTGAATGTATAAATATTTAAAAGTATAAATATTTTTAAATATTTATACATTTATTTATACATTCATTTAGTTTTATTATTATATTTTTTTATTTTATTATATTATTATATATATATATATACATTATTCATTGTTTTAACTGCTTCATCCGCCACTTCTGGTAACTTGATACATTTTTTTTGATTTGCTACTCGACAAACATTTTATTTTGATTTGTTACTTAAAAAAAGACAAGTAATAAATATTGTTTATTTGAACATTATAATCAGAAATAAATTGACTTTTTTTATTAT